TTAAACTGCCCTTAAATAACTCTAGTTTTTTTTTATCAAAAAATCGATCAAAATTTCGACAAAAATCGAAAAAATTAATAACTTCAAAATTGATCCACATGCACTTCTAGGGGACCATGAAACCCAGAAAAGTGCAAAATAAATGTAGAAACGCAAAAAAGTGTACTCGCAGAGACACTACTCGGAGGCGTGGTGGCACAGCGACATAATTTTTTTTCACGAAAAACTATCCGTATTTGTGCCACTAAATAAACAAACCCATTTTTACCGCTTTATTCCTCCCTACAGAAGCAAAACTTTTTCATAAACGAATCACTAACACACCTAACAATCGCAAAGTCCAACCTTCTAATCGCCCCATCGACGGCAAAACTTCCATTAAAATACGAAACAAAACTTTCAAAAACCGAAAACGGATACGTTTCAACACTAATTAGAAATTTCCGGTGCCCGGAACTCCTCGAAAGACTCGCACTTAAAACCTTCCTCAATTCGAAACTGCGACACTTTTTCCGATCTATGATCACATTTATTCTACTCACGATGAAATTAGACGCATTTTTCACAATTAAATCGTCACGATCTGTCATCAAGTAGCCCCCACAGGGGCAAAACCCCTCCTCAACCCCCGAATCCTGACACGATCTCTCCTTCACATCCATGAACAGCGACTCGCATTTGGGGCAACCCCCACTCGGTTTCGACTCGTTTTTCAACTGCGCCAACAATAGAATCTCCTGCAAGGTCATGTAAAGGTCAAAGGGGGTGGTCAAGGAGTCTTGTTGCAATTTCAAAGAGTCATATTCTTCGGGAAAAACCTCCTTGAATTCCAACGGGACTGCAAGATAGCTAAAAGGGAGTTTTTCCTCCAACCACGCCAAATTCGTAAACTCGATTTTCCTCTCGCGCTTTCCTTGATCACTCAAGAAGAACACAAACGTGTCCTTGAACACTCCTTTCCGGTTCATGAACCGGAAAAGCCCCCGGAGGGTGTAATCCAGCTTGGGGAGGGTCCCCGGAGTCGCACTTTTGATCCAGAAGAACCCAAAACTGGGCTCGTTTTTGAACATGACCGTGAAGTCTTTCACGAGATTCACGAGGCGTTCGAAGGGGGCTTCCGGGTCGGGACAGGGGGCAAACTTGTTGATTTCCACCGTGGGGAATCTCTCACTTGCCATGAAATAGGGGCGGAAATAATAGTTTGTCGGGGGTTCCCCAAAAGTAAAACTATTTGTCCAAATGTCATCCTCGGCAAAAACTGTGGTATAATTACACTTTTCGAAATCAGACCAAATGAAATTGCACTTTTCACAGGACTTTAAACCGGTCAAAAGGGCCAAAATATTGGGGGCTGTCTCATCACTAATCTTCGTGTAGCCGTTCAAGGGCAACCAATGGTTGTTCGAGGTCATAAAATGGTGGGTTTTGGGGAAATTTCGTACGAAACTTAGGCGGGAAATCTTGTCAATTCCGAGTATTAAGACACTGAAGGGTTTTGGCCATTTTTCCCACTTTTTTTCCGGTTTTTTTATTACGGCGTGGACTTGTTGGTACGGCTCCGGTGTTGTGTCACACTCAACCCTCACAAAATCCCCCTCCAAAGTCACATTTTTCCTGAATTTCGCACATCCTGAAACACTAAAACCAAAATTTTTGGATTTGAACCTTGTCGAATTTACTCGATGTCATCGTCGGTGTTTCTCGTGATGTTTGAGTAGCAACAGCTCACGTTTGGGTAAAACCCATTTCGTTGCTTGATGTGGAGGGTGGCCCCCGTCATGTAGGTGAGGACGTTCCGCCGGGTGCAGGGCTTGTAGGTGTCGGGGAACCACAGGGTGTATTCCTGGAAGTACAGTTGGGACAAATCCGGGATTAGACACTTGTTGGTCGAGACGAGGGTTGGGACTAAAATTGTCGGGGTATTCGGGGAGGCGCTAACACTGGTCTTACTCGAGGCTTGGATGGCTTCGATGTGTGTCAAAGACAGGGTGGTGGTTCTTCGCTTGTAGAAGAACAAGGGGGTGAAGCACAGGAGGGAGATGCTTGCGACGAGGAGTAGTTCGAAGAGGAATTTGCGTTTGTGGAGTTTGAGGGGCATTTTGACGGGTTTGGCAGCAAGTGATGCGATTTTTGAGGAGGTTTTGCGTCGCTAGGCAAAATTACAGGTTGGAGTTTTTGGGAGTGTTTTTTTTAAATTGTCTCTAAAGTAACGAAATCGTCATAATTCGTCAGATTTTTAGATAATTAAAGATTACAATTTGAAAAACAGGGAGTTTCGGTTAAACCCCACTTTAGAAATATTTCCAAGATGGCGGCACTTTTGGTTATACAACTTTTTTATTTTCAATAGATTGTTGTGTTTTTATTGCGTTTTAAGTTTTAATAAGCTTTCACTAAACCTAAATTTAACCGTTTTCGAGATATTTAGACTTTTTTAAAATTTTTTGGATTTGAACCTATTTTTTTTCAAAAATCGATAACTCTGCCATTTTTGATTATTTTGAAATCGTATTTGGGCATATGAAAGAAAAAGGTTAAATCTTGCCTTTGGTGTATCATAAATACAAAAAATCATTAACAAACTCGCAAAATTTAAGGTTACGATTGCGAAACTAAATGAAAGGTTCAAATTTTCTCTGTAGGAAATGAAAGAGAATTTTATTCTGCATAAACATTCTCTAACGGTTTTTTAGTTAAGTGTTATCTTGACTTTGTAGATAGATTAGAAGTTAGAAAAATTATTGTAAATTATTATTTATACTAAATGAATTTTTTTGAATCTTGAGTTGTTTTTTTTATGTTTTTTGTAATCAGTAAGTCTGTTTGTCTTGTCACAACAAGAACTAAAAATTAAAAAAAAGAGAGGTCACTATTTTTTCTCAAACTTGGTAAGTTGAAATTTCGGAGATAAGAATTATTGAAAAAAGCATTACTTATTTTTTGACTAATAGTTGCGACAACTCATTCTAGAATAAAAGAAAATAATGAAGAAAATAAATAAATATCTAAATAAGATAACAAAAATAGAAATTATAAAATGTACAAAAGAAAACCAAGAAAATAATGTGAAATTACAAAAAATCAAAAATCAGAAAGAGCTAAAGAAAAAAATAAATATTTGAATTGATACGAAAAATATAAGAAAAAGTGTACGACGAGCAAGAAAGTAAGAAAAAAATTAATAAGTCATAGGCAGTGGTATATTTTTCTATTAAGTTGGTAACATGCATGAAAATTTGATTTTGTTCAAGTGACTAACTTGATAGATTAAAAAAGAAGAAAACAAGAAACAAATTTCTTAATAATTATATTTTGAAACTGAAAAGTATTGTAATAGTGTTTTTTTTAATTTTTTTCCCAACTGAAACAGAATTTT